TCTAAATTTACCAACTTGTTATGTAGACTACTAATATCAATGCTTTCTTCATTGAATCCCTCAAAATCAAGCTCTGTTTTGTTTTTCCCCTTGCCAGTGGCCATCTTGAATGTTCTTCTCTGCACTGTAAACACTAGGGCAACTTTTTCTCATCCGATTTTTCACTTCCCTTAGCACTTTCCTGTTATCTCACCTATTTTTCAAGAGCACTATACCTTTATGTTCTCTGGGACACCACTCACTACCATCAACCTGTACTACAATACTTAGGATTGTTGAAATATGCTGGAGCTCCTCTGCTGCAAGTGTTGACCCTAGGGGTGTCACCTTTTGAATTCATGGTATGAATGTTTGTGTGCCTTCATCGTATATTTTGCAAAATTTGGCATACATTTCATTTACTTCCCTGCCTAGCAACAAGTCTGTCCAATTACACTCATTAAAAAAATTTTGAAGTTCCCCATAGTTGCCTCTCCTTAAATCGAGTTTATCAACTGTTTCAATGTCCCCATTTTCTTCTAGATGATATCTTAATTGACCTTCCCAACCATGTTAAAGACTGTACCTCTCTCAACCAGTTTAAGATAAAAACTAAACACTACCTAATAAATTCCCTGTAACCTACCTCACTCCTCTATTGTCAACCCATGTCTGCTATTTTTTTTTAATCAACACTGTTTGTCAACCTATTGTATTTGTGCTGCTTTTTCAGTCATGTTCCCCCCTTTTTTTTTATTTTATCTTTATTTGTATTTGTTCTCAACACTTTTTATTCTTTATGCTCAATTAGTATTAAGTTCTAGATATTAATGTTTTTCTTGCCCGAAACGCATTGCGTAATAGTGGCTTTAGGCATTGTATGTACTAGCTCTATCTATATATCAATCCATTAATGTAACATCACTTGTATGTACAGTATGTACCTTACCTGAATAAACATATTTATTTATTTTATTTAAAGCATAATCAATGTCTAACAGGACGTGATCACTCTTTCCCAAGGGAGGAAGGTACTGGATGTCAAATATCTCTTCTTTCCTGGTGAATACTAGATCCAGTACTGACGGTACATCTCCTTCCCTCATTCTTGTGACCTGCTTTATGTGTTGATAAAAGAATGTCTCCAGAATGAGGTTCACAAATCTGCATGTCCAAAAGTCGTCCGTTCTTGCTTCATAGGCCTCCCAGTCTATTGCTTTAAAGTTGAAGTCCCCCAGTATCAACAGTCGTGATTTATCTTTATCTGCTTGTACAATATCATCTCTCATGACCATTATGAGGCCCTCTCGTTTGTCATCCAGTTCTTCCTTTGTCCATGTGTTGCTTGCTGGTGGGCTGTAGGCATTTAAAATTATCAGCTTATCATCCTGATTCCAGACCTGCAATGCCATTATGTCAATATCTCGAGGGCTTTCAAGTATTAACTCTCTTACCTTCAGGTGTTTTTTCACCAGTACAGCCACTCCTCCCTTCCTAGTTTTCCTGTCACGTCTCCAAACTGAATAGCCTCTTGGGAATATGACTTCACTTATTACATTTCCTTCAAGTTTTGTCTCTGATAATGCAACAATATCTGGGACCCTAAGCTGGATTATATCTTGCAACTCCAAAGTTTTTGACCTCACTCCATCTATGTTGGTATATACAATTTTCAGGAACATGGTCCCTTTTCCTTTGCTCTTTACTCCCCCTTCCACTACTGATCTTGTTGCTTTGTTTTTATGTACCATTTCACAAGCTTTCCAGTCCCTGTCACTTTGTAAAAAAAAAGAATTTCTGTCTTCTTCATTTCTATCCCCATTTAGACGTTTTGCCTCAATTAGGTTCATTTTCAGCTTTTCTCTGTCTTCCTTGGAGAGGTCTTGTCTTATTGACCAAAGTTTGCCAACCTCATCACTCTGCAGTTTCCTGGCATTTCTTAGCACTTCCATCATGTTTTTCACTCCATTAAACGTCACCCTTAAGGGGCGGTTCTTTTCTTTCTCATATTTTCCTATTCTTCTAAAATCACTGACATGTGTGTATTGGTGTGTTGGTGGGTGAAATGTGTGGGTGTTGGCAGCTACGCTAAGCTTGCTCTTGTCAGGGAGCTGTGAATGTGTGAGAGGTTCTTCACATGTATTTCAGCATATATGGATGTCTATAGATGAATACTATGTAGCATCTTATATACTCCAATGCTTCCACACATTGAAATGTGTTCTGGAAACTAACATTTTGGAAGGGTGACAGGTAAGAGTGTAACATGGACGAAATTTTTTTAACCAATAGAAAAATGAGAAATCTATTAAAATCTATTTAATAATTTCATTTTTCAGAGATTTAATATCATTGCCTGATAGAAATCAGAGGTAATGTATCTGAATGGAGAAATGTCACAAGTGGACTACCACAGGGTTCAGTTCCTGCACCAGTAATGTTCATTGTCTACATAAACGATCTGCCAGATGGAATACAGAATTATATGAACATGTTTGATGATGATGCTAAGATAATAGGGAATATAAGAAACTTAGATGATTGTCATGCCCTTCAAGAATACTTGGATAAAATAAGTATATGGAGCACCAATTGGCAAATGGAATTTAATGTGAATAAATGCCATGTTATGGAATGTGGAATAGGAGAACATAGACCCCACACAACCTATAAATTATGTGAGAAATTGTTAAAGAATTCTGATAGAGATCTAGGGGTGGTTCTAGATAGAAAACTACCCCCTGAGGACCACATAAAGAACATTGTGTGAGGAGCCTTTGCTAGCTTTCTAACTTCAGAATTGCTTTTAAATACTGTACACAAATGGCGAAATACAAAAGAAATTGTTCATGACTTTTGTTAGACCGAAGCTGGAATATGCAGTGGTTGTATGGCGCCCATATCTTAAGATGCACATCAACAAACTGGAAAAGGTGCAAAGATATGCCACTAAGTGGCTCCCAGAACTGAAGGACAAGAGCTACGAGGAAAGGTTGGAGGCATTAAATATGCCAAAACTAGACGATAGAAGAAAAAAAGGCGATACGATCACTACGTACAAAACAGTAATGGGAATCATTAAAATTGATAAGGAAGAATTCCGGAGTCATGGAACTTCAAGTACAAGAGGTCATATATTTTTACTAAAATTTGCTGAAGAAATTTAAGAAAATTCACTTTCGCAAACAGGGTGGTAGACAGTTGGAACAAGTTACGCGAGAAGGTGGGAGGCCAAAACCATCAATAGTTTCAAAGCATTATAAGCACAAAGTGTACTGGAAAGACGGGACACTACGAGCATTGCTCTCATCCTGTAAATATCCATATTTGCACGATACATGTAAAATCCAGACAGTAATCGTTTTAATCATCAAATGAAAACTGCATTCTCCTTGTAACATTCATGATGATAATCGCATGCGTACCATGCAGAATATTTTCATGGGCCAAAGTGAACTCAATTACATCCGCATACACCTATTATATTCGCATAAGTATCATACATATAAAACCCAGACAAAGATTGTTTAAATCAGGGTCTTTGATGATAACCGCAGTCCCTAGAGATAGTCAATAGATGATAACCATAGCCTAAGGGTTAAGCATTTACCCCATTAAAACCTTTAATTTTTTACAAAAGGCCCACTATCTTTCTAGTGGGCTAGAGATAATCCTCCTGTCCTCGTCAGCCTGCAACTTGTCAAAGGTCCCACTACTTGTCCCAATGATTATTTATTTGATCTTAAATTGTAGCAAGGTTTTGGCATTTATGGCTTTGGCAGGTAGGCTGTTCCATGGGGTTTATAAACCTGTGGGGGTTAAAATGCATTTCCTGTTTTTTGACCTACATTGTGTTTTATTGAACTTGAATTCATTGCTCTTTGTTCATGTTAAATCTGACCTTTTGAAGAAGTGGTCTGGATCAATATTCTCAAAGTTGTTCAATATTTTAAATGTTTTGATTAGATCAGTCCTGTAATGTCTGGTTTGCAGTGGTGTTAGTCTTGCCCTCAACCATTCCTGGTATGGGAGATGACTTAGTCCAGGAATGATTTTCCTTGCCTATAGTTGGACATTCTCCAAAGCATGTGTGTCTTTCTGAAGATGAAGTTTCCATGCTTGAATACAATAATCCAAGTGGGTGCACAGGAGATTTATACAGTTTAATAACTATCTTCTTGTTTCCCTTTAATAAAAGTTCTGTTTGACTATTAGCAGGACTTGGTGGGCTTTTATTTGTGAGGAGGGGGGGGGGGGGGTGCAGCTCCCACTTGTTGTGAAACTTCCAGTGATTAGTGGATTCTGATACCAAGACCCTTTTCTTCAATCTGCTACAGGGTAATTTGCTGATATGGTAGTTGGTAGCTGATACGATCACCACTTACAAAATAATAACAGGAATCGACCAAATTGACAAAGAGGAATTCCTCTTTTGCACTTTACCCTAAATAAAATTATCATTATCATTACATAATCAAGTCTTCCATCTGAATGGAAAAATGGGTGTGTTACATGGGTTCAGATCAAAGACAGACACTGTTTTTGCCGATGTATTTTACAAACAACCATTTGTTTGTTTAATCATCCCCTATATTAAAGTCTTGCATTAAAGTCACCAATTACAATTGGTGGCTGGAATGTTTATTTCCACGGAAGTGTGGATGACAATTTATGTGACGTGGACGTGGGTCAGTAATTCCTCCAAACTTCAGTAGTAGTCAGGGAAAGTCGAAAACTTCAGTTTGGCAGCAAGATGCTACTTCTGGAAACTTTCCTTATTAAGACTACTCAATAGCATGATTGATTGAATTTTGGCCTCACTTGCATTGGATCCATGGTTCGAGTCTCCGACAGCCCAGGTGAATGGAATGTTTATTTCCGCCGAAGTGTGGATAACAATTTATACGATGGTTTTTTAACCACTATTGACCGAGGGAAGAGACGTCTCCATTTTGTTACCTCTCGTGCATAGACATTGCATACAGAGCCAGTCTAGTAAACGCAAGTAAATCTTTTCTAACCTAATTCAAACCAGGTGTTGGAGTTTGTGTCCGGCTCTTGCTCACATAGTTCACAACTGGAGTTCTCACTGCTCAGCCCATCCTCATAAAGGCCAAAAGCGATTTCATGCACCCGCTAAACCCTCCATTTATGAATGAAAAATGGTTTACACACGACTCAACTGATGACGTCTGAACACTTCTCGAACAAGTGCTTCGCTGATGACTTTTGTTTGAACCACAACGCTGTAATGCTTCACTCACGTACTACAAATACAAATCATTGCCAACAGAACCTAAACATCTAATCTAACCAATGCCTAAATATACACAGTATGCTTATAATAATATTAATGAGAAAATTCCTATTTTGGATGAACAGCATGTTAAAATTTATGAATGCGTCTTTGCTATCTGCCGCTGGATGGAATGAACAAGATAAAAACATATCTTATCTGTTAGATCAAGGACCTGCCCGAAATGCTGCGGGTACTAGTTGCTTTACAAGAATGTAAACATCATGCTATGTATCCTCACAAACCCAATGTACCTTCTTGTATATATGTATATATATATATATATATATATATATATATATATATATATATATATATATATATATATATATATATAAATAAAATTAATAAATAAATATTTTTCTTGCCCGAAACACTGTATTAGTGGTTTTAGGCAAAGTATGTATTAGCTCCATCTATAAACCAAACATTCTGTTTGTATGTTGTATGTCTATGTACTTATACCTGAATAAACATTTGTATTTGTGGTATTTGTAATACAATACAATACAATACAATACAATTTTATTTAGGTAAGGTACATACATACAATAAATATTTACAAGGATTGTTTAACTTATAGGTATAGCTAGTACATACAATGCCTAAAGCCACTATTACGCAAAGCGTTTCGGGCATGATAAACTTAAATGACAAGCTTTATACTAATTGAGCATAATGAGTAGAATGAAAACAAGAAATGAAAACATAGATGAAGAAGCAGCACAAATACAATTATGTCGACAAACAGCGCTCTTTAAAGAAAAAAACAGACATTGGTTGACAATAGAAGGGTAAGGTAGGTTACAGGGAATTTATTAGGTATAGCTTCGCTTTTAACTTAAACTGGTTGAGAGAGGTACAGTCTTTAACATGGTTGGGAAGGTCATTCCACATTCTGGGCCCCTTGATTTGTAGAGCATTTCTAGTTTGATTAAGTCGTACTCTAGGAATATCAAAACTATTTATTTCTGGTGTGATGCTCATGGGTTCTGATACAACCTTCTATGAAGCTTTTGAGATCAGGATTGGCATTATAGTTTAGCGTGTTATATATGTATAATACACATGAGAGAATGTGCAGTGACTTAATGTCTAACATATTCAGAGATTTAAGTAGGGGTACCGAGTGATGTCTGGGGCCAGAATTGGATATTGTCCTAATAGCAGCTTTGTGTTGAGTAATTAGAGGACGTAAGTGATTTTGGGTAGTAGAGCCCCAAGCACAAATACCATAGTTGAGATATGGATAGATAAGGGAGTAAGAGAGAGTCACCAGGGCAGGGCGTGGTACATAATATCTGATCTTAGAAAGAATGCCCACAGTTTTTGAAACTTTTTTTGATATGTTTAGAATGTGTCCCTGGAAATTAAGCTTGTGGTCAATGAGAATGCCAAGGAATTTGCCATCTAATTTGTTACAAATTTGGGTATTGTTTATTTTGAGATTTATTTGATTAGAGGATTTATTGCCAAACAGAATATAAAAGGTTTTGTCAATGTTAAGGGTGAGTTTGTTGGCAGTTAGCCACAGATGGACTTTATTTAGCTCAGTATTTACTGTGGCATTTAGAGCAAGGGGATCAGGACTGGAGTAAATGAAGGTTGTGTCGTCAGCAAATAGAATTGGTTTGAGGTGTTGGGAGGCATTTGGAAGGTCATTAATGTAGATGAGAAAGAGGAGAGGGCCAAGTATGCTGCCCTGGGGAACACCAATGTTGATGGGTAGGGTGGGAGAAATTGTATTATTCACAGAAACATATTGGAGCCTGTCAGTAAGGTAGGATTTGAGGTATTGTAGGGAGTGTCCTCTGACTCCATAATGATGTAATTTAAGAAGAAGGTTTTGGTGGTTGACAGTGTCAAAAGCTTTACGCAGGTCCACAAACAACCCAACAGAGAACTCATTTTTATCAAGAGCTGTATGAATCGAGTTAAGCATACTAATAAGTGCATCGTTAGTGCTTCTTTTGGGTCTGAAGCCATATTGGCAAGGGCTAAGTATATTGAGTTTGGCTAGATATGAGTAAAGCTGCTTATAGATTAGTTTTTCAAAAATTTTTGACAAGTTTGGCAGGATAGATATAGGTCTGTAGTTGTTAACATCTGTGAGATTACCACATTTGTGGACAGGCGTTACTCTCGCTTTTTTTAGAATATCTGGGAAGGTTTGGAGTTCAAGTGACTTGTTGAAGAGCAAAGCAATAGCAGGGGCTAAAGATCTGGAGGCTTTTTTGTAAATTAAAGTTGGAATCTCCTCAAGGGCACCAGACTTGGTTTTAAGGGAAAGGATTATCTCATTGACGTCAGTGGAATTAATAGGCTTTAGGTACAGAGACTGTGGATAGTTACCTGAAAGATAGTCATTAATGTCTGTACTGGAAGATGGAATATCATTTGCAAGGGATGAACCAATGGAAGAGAAGAACCTATTGAACTCAGTAGCAGAATCAGAGGCTGAAAGCTGACCATCGTTATTAGACAGGAGAGTCGGTTTGTTATTTAAAGACTTCTTTGATCCCAATATTTGAGAAATTGTTCTCCAAGTTTGTTTAATGTTGCTCTTTATTTGAGTAAATTTATCTTCGTAGTATTTAGTTTTGGCTCGTCTAATTATCTTAGACAGCAATAATGAGTAATTCTTTGAGAATTCTTTGGAGACAATTCCTAACCTATACTTCTTCTCAAGGACATGTTTTTTATTAATAGATTTAAGTATTCCCTTTGTAAGCCAGGGATTGTTAAGCCTTTTGGTTGTGACTTGTTTTGTAAGCATAGGACAGTGGGTATTATAAAGGCTAAGAGTTTTTTGAAGAAAAGATTGTACTGCACGGTTGATGTCCACTATGTTACCTAACTCGGACTCCCAGTTGACATTATCAGCAGCAGTTATAAAATTGTCTATAGCAGTTTCATTGTGTAGTCTAAAACGTATCACTCTTGACTCGTGGGGTAATGATCTGTAGTGCTATCGGTGATTATACCTGAAGTAAGCGGAGAGGTTATGTTCGTCCAGATGTGATCGAGCGTCGTGGCAGTGCTATCAGTGATTCTAGTAGGTCTAGTGATTAAGGGTATGAGGAAGCAGGAATTCATACAGTTGAGGAAGCTAACAGCAGTGGGGTGTTCAGGCTCGCAGAGGTCAATATTAAAGACTGAAGATGGGATGAACCATTGGGGTTCATTACTGGCTGAGGAACATATGGTTGTTTCGAATAATAGTCAATTCAATAAAGCTCGTTTTCTGTTTGTTAAGCCATATACATTATTATTCTAGTCTGTATTAACTTAGGTTAAGCTGTATTTGGGCTTGGCTGGGTTAGGTTAGGTTAGGTTGGGTTGAGCTCGGTTAGGGTAGGTAGGTTTGAAAATCCGTTGGTTAATAGTCTTATTTATGATGCGACCTTTATCCCTGCTCATGACCACTAACATTAACTACGACACATATTACCCTGGGATAAAATAGGTTAGCTTTCAAAATATGTATATAAGCCATATCGTGTAGGACGACACAGGACTATTTCTTGAAATTATAGTCTAGCGTCTTTAAGGCTAGACCAATTGTGATTTTAGATGTTCTCTAAGGATTAATGTTGTATTTTGATACAACCTCTTATGTAATGATTACTGGAGGAAGTTAATGTTTTCCTATTGTAGTTCAGTCACCCCACCCACCCTGAATGCACACGAAATTCCTCGATTACTCAAAACATAAATAATATGAAGGCTATTAAACCACATAGATCTAATAGCAATATCACCTAAATTCTATACTTTGAAGGCCATTACAGAAAATACACCAGAAATATGTAGTGTGTTACCGAGAGGAGAGAGGTGACCTGGCAGCTGCCCTGGCCGGCTCCTGCAGTGTTGTGGCCTCTCACACCACCACCTCTCACTACTACCTAAATATAAGTCTTTCCCCTTGTCAGAGGACACGAAGCCTAACTAATAATTAATGACTGTACATATATACTTAACTAATAATTAATTACTGTGTACATATATACTTAACTAATAATTAATTTCTGTTTACATATATACTTAAAACCTGTATCTAGGTCCCCCACCCCCACCAAAGGTCAAACTACTGACCTTCCCCAGGACGGTCAGTAGTTACTGCCTACATAAATAGTTGCCTAAAAACTCCCGGGTACCTATAATAATAATATTAATAATGATTATCATCATCATCGACAACAAGGACCTTTACATTCGTGTCCTGGAATGTGCACACAGTGCGCGCAAGTGACTTGCTGATATTCTTGTGTGTGGGTAATAATATTGTTGATGTAGTCTCTTTGCAAGAACCATATACATCTAAAACCTTACTCAAGACACCACCTAGACCCCCAGGGTACGTGTCTTTTTCGACCGCAGGACCTCGATCATGATGTAGGCATACTGACATATATGTTTGTAACGGTTCTATTGATTATAGATTATCTATAATATCTATAGATTATCCCAATAATATACTCGCTACATGTTAAAAGTTATCTGGTTTGTAAACATATTAAAAATCACAAGAGTTAAGACACCTATTATCAAAAATTTCAGATATCCACAGAGACTGACTCCTTCTACCTCTGAAACACCTGTGTGAGATGTAGCAATGACTGAGACATCTCTTATCTCTTCCTTCAATCTATAGCAACTCTGAAACCATCATAATGGGTGACTTTAAATCAAGACACAATAAGCTAGGGAATGACAAAACAAACAAAAATGGTGTGTTTGTAAAATACCTAAAAAAAAACAATATGACTTTTTTTTATCTAAACCCATCTAATGTCACTCATCTCTCAGGCGGAAGGTTTGATTATGTAATAGGTCACGGTCTCTTA